AAAAAGAGAAGAAATTATGTAAGAACTGGCAAACCACAGCAGGCCAAGTGGTTATGTAAAGCAATGAACACAAGAGCTTATTTAATTTAGATCTAGCTGCAAGACGGACCACAGTGTAAACGGGCTGGGATTAGACAGGCTAGGCTGATGTGCATGCACTGAGTTAAAGCCCTGCGTTCCCTGTGTCCATTGGAAAAAGGGCAGTTTTTAGGGATGCTCACACCACCATAGATGGGCATCCCCACTGGGGTGGGGGTCTCTCTCCAGAGGCCCTGTGTGTGTGCAGCCGAAATAGCTTTATCAGCCAAGGCCATGGGTGGGATTATCACTGCGTGGAGCTGTAGTGACTGATTTAAAACAGTACTGTTATTAAAAGCTGTAGTAGGAATTTGGCTGTGACCTAAGGAAAAGAAAGCAATTCCTCTAGTCAACATCAGTATAAACACAGGATTCCTGAACTAAAGCCATTGACTAATCCTGGATATGAGTTGCCAACAAACCTGGAGAGAATTCAGCCATTTGGCTTTATGGGTTGCTGTTTACATGTACTACAGAGAGATGCTTGTCGTGTTTATTTACACAGCACCACAGATCTGCCAGTGGGCAGAGCCCTGCCAACCACAGCACTGGCCATGTGCATTGTGGCACAAAGCTCATCACAGCCCTGCCAAGGTGCTCCTCACCACAGGGAAGTGTAAGGGAGCATTTGCAACATCATGCATGGAATTAATAACTTTGTGGGCCTCTCAGGCAAACGGGAATTGAATATATGTCCTTGGAAGAGAGTGTAAAAAGCTCAGTTAATGGATGCTCAGAGGCCAAGCTGAACCAGCTCCAACTCCTGGTCCTTTCTTCTCCTTCATTCCTGGGGCTTTTTGGCACATTCCTTCAAAGGCATCATAAGAAGGAATATAGGAAGAAATAAAGCAGAGGACCTCCTTGGCCAAGCAGTTGTTTCATGTGCACAGTTATTTACTCTACAAATCACATGAACTATGAGCAGGCTTCATAAAACATATTAAATATGTGGAGGGATAAGGGGGGCTGCAGCCACATGGGTTGGCTGATGCAGAGCAGAACTGCAGCAGAAGAGCTGCCCACTCAAACCTGTTTGAGGTATAGAGAAGTTCCCAATGCACTTCCCAAGAATTTTCCCTGACAAATGAGCAGCTTGGAGCTGATGGAGCTGTGACAGTTTGTGGAGGCTCAGGGCCATGTGTTTTAATAAATGGGTTCACACCAGATGTCCATGCAAATCAAACATTAGCATGTGTGAAGTGTTACCTACCCCAAGCACTTGTCATAACTTAGGGGACATTTTGCATCGTGCGAGTGGGAAAAGACATTCCCCTCTGTCCTGTGAATTATGGGGTGCCAGAGAGCTGCCCATGCCCAGGCTCCCCTCATCCATGTGCCAAATCCAAGCTCAGCTAAAAATCCTGGGATTTTAGGTCAAGATGTTGCCTGACTGCGCTGGGACTGATGGTACCCTAGGTATTTCTTTTCTTTCAACTTCCCCTCTTTCCCCAGGTCCACGAAGAAACAATCCAGAAAAGAGGGTATGAAGGTAAGAAAGAAGCAACAAAGGAAAACTGACTTGCAGAGCCATCTGGCCATTAAAATGCAGAGCTTTTGGGAAGCGATGTTGAGTGTGTGATGCTGCATGTGATGGAGTGGAACACTTGGCAGGCTCCAGGGTCAGGGGACCTGGACCTGTAGCCAACAGCAAGGCTGGGATGTAACCAAACCCACAGGTGCTGACCTGCAAGTGAACAGAGGAAGCATTTCATGCTGCCTTGGAGCTCTCTTATCTCTTGCTGCCACAATGAGCAGCTTTAAAACCTCCTCCAGCTGAAGTGGCATGAAAACACGGATTTACTTGTATGGGGATGGCTTGAAGAGGTGTTCAATTTGTGTGGAAAAAAAAAACCCAACCTAAAATTGGCTGCAGAGTGTTCTAGAGGATGCCTGCCAGTCAAAGCGTTAACTAGACCTAAATAATGTGGCTATAATGGACTTATTCCTGCTACTGGATCCCACGCTGATGCCGATATTCAAACCAGACATCCCCGACTGACAGAAGTAACAGGCGAGTTGGCGATGAAGAATATATAATAAACCAGACTCACAGGCTGCTTTAAGCAGCTTCAAGGGTAACAATAAAGCTGGGAAATGGTACTGCTCTAAAGAATTAAGCATCAGAGGTCACACAGAGCTTGATGGCATGAGGTGAGATGTGCCATGCCTGGATCTACTGACCTCAGTGACACCCTACAGAGCATCCCACCTATTGCTTATCACTATGTGCTGCTCTGAGCAGTCTGTAATTGCTTCAATATCAGTAATGACTTCTTAGAGGTGTTGTGAAGCTTAAGTGGTGCAAGTTAAGGAACATGGGCAAGAATCAAATGCATGAAGTGTTGTTTGAAGAGTTACTTATTTTCTCATAGGGAAACCTGGTTGTTCACGCAGTCTAGTTACACTCAGGAATGCCCATTAAAACCTCAATATTCAAAGCAAATACAGAGGAAATGTTTCAAAATCAGAAACGTTAAATGAATACACTCAAACATTCATCCCAGAAAGCTTGTTCCAGTCCAGGGAGGAGCGTTTTCCTGCGATGATCCCACCAGAACCAGAGCTCGCAGTGGGCTCTGAGGCTATAAATGGTTACAATTGCTCTGTTCTGGGACTGGCTCTCAATCAGCCAACAAATAAAACCTCTTAGAGAACTAATGGCTTCCAAAAAACCAAAACAACCCCGATTTGCTTTAGACAGTTTGCCAAACAGGAAGAGGAGTGAAATACGCTGAGTGATTTATTACAAGTGATTTGCCAGCTCAAGCAAGTGCATCATTGCTCTGCTTAATCTAAAGGCAGAAAATGAACGCAAAGAGATGCAAAGACCTCTAAAGCAGCTCGAGTCCACTGTGAGAGACCAGGGCTCCAGATTTCCAACCAGCGAGCCCTCTGCCTGACCCCTCCACGCTGCCACTGCCCTTTCCTTCACAGCTTTTCCATTATTTGCCTTTTTCTACCCCCCTGCACAGCTTTCAACGTGCGAACACCCGCTCGCACGCTGCGCAGTGCTTTCCATTAACGCGCTTCAAACCTGACTTGCAGCTGCTTTGCTTATTCACCCTGGAGCCTTCCCCAGCCCAGGGCTCTGCATCGCATTGTGTGCTGCTTCCCTGCATGCAGAGGAATGGAGCGAAGCCATTAAACAACCTTCCTATCTTAGCAAACCTACTTCTGTAGCCAGATCCCCTGAGAAGGAACAGTATGCAAGGGTTTGGCTTGCTTTCTTCCCCAACAGCTGCCTCTTCCTTATTACTTTTGAATTGATTCCTAAGAGAAATAATAATCAAGAAGTAAAATAGACGAGGAAAAGCCTACAGGTGAGCTTCACTTACTGTGCATTCACAGCTGCCTACTTGGCTAACAGGATAAGGAATAGCCAGGATGTAAAATATGTTAAGAATTTCTTAAACTGTAATCTCCAAGGCCATGGCTAGGAAATAATCCTCTGGTTTTAGCCGTACCATGGTAACAATGAACATCAGTTTAAACTGAGGGGGAGATGACTGGAAATAATGCATTTCAGCCACATTGTTCTCAAATCAGATGGCTCATACCTCCTCAGAGAGCAGATGATTTGGGTTAAGTACACCGGGCTGCCACTGGCAACATCTACAAAGCACCTACAGGAGAAATGTAGCCCACAGCATGTAAAGATGAAAGTTTGGTATCAAGACAAGGAACAGAGGGAACCCAGAGCTTCCCTATGGGGTGGATTTTGGGTTATGGAAGCAGTTCAGGGAGAAACTTGGAGAGGCATCTCTAAACATCCACAGACTCTGGGCTTAAATCTAACCATGTGTGCTCTCAACTGCTTTTTAGTGGGAGAAATTGTTCTGATTAGTTTCCATTTAAGTTCCCTCCCTTTAATCATAGAATCCTTGAGGTTGGAAGGGACCTTAAAGACCACCTAGTAAACTGCGGGAGCACCTTAAAGGCTTTAGTGCACCTGCAGCTTTAAATTCTAACTAGTTGCTGTTTAAACCCAGCTGAAATTCATGTTCAAGATAAAAGATTGAGAAGCTATCACATGCCAGCCTGGCAGCAAAGGGACTGTGGATGTTGATGTCTTGCTCTTTCTGTCTCTCTCATTTCATGTCTCTTGCATTTTTCAAGCCTAATGCTCCAATGAACAAATGCCTCAACCCCTCAGAGCACTGAAGCACAGCAAGCGTTGATGCTGAAACCCTTTCCATGCATGGGTGTGTTAGGTGCAGCAGTGTGTGGAGACCAGAAAAGCTTTTCTGAACTCAGGAGGGATCTGCGAGTTAAACCAGCAAAAATACCAGCCTATGGCTTTGAGGATGCAGTTCCTTTTGGGATGTTTATGCTACATCTTGTTCCCAAAACTTTCTGAAGTGGGGATCAGTCACTAGACAGAGGAAATAGGCTCAACACAAGAAACTCGGGTAAGGGGGGAGATGGTATTATTGCCCTCGATCCTGCTGGCCACTTTCCAGCTGAAGGAAAGGAGATGCAGAGAAAGAGTGGAGATTTATGGGCTTTCCTGGCTCTGAACTGCCACGTTTGGGGAAGACCCGAGCATCCCCACTCCGAGACCGCGGCCGCACGGCAGAGAGGGGCCCAGCTGCTCCGGCGGGGCTGCACCGGCCCGGGTCGGGATTAACCTCAGGGCAGGATTGACCCCGGCGCCGGATCTCAGCTCAGCGCTGTGGTGCCGGAAGGGGTGTGGGAGGAGGAGCAGCCGAAATCGTCCTCCCTCTTCCCCCAGATCCCGCCTGCCCGTACCCCGCGCCGGTCCATCCCATCGGGGCTGCCCGGGACACCCTCATTCCCGACCCGGTTCCCCCTTCCAGGCCTCCCCGTCCTGGCCCGCCCTTCTCCACAAAGTTTGGCCACCTGAGACCGGGAAGGACGTGACTGCCCGGCCCCGCTGCTCGAGGGGGACCCCGGCTCCTCACCTGGATGACGGTCTTCAGCGTGGAGGCGTCCACGATGGTGGTGCAGATGAGGGAGTCGGGATTCTGGTCCTTGCCGTAGATCTCCCCCATGGTAAAGATCATGGGGATGGCGAGGAGAAAGGAGGCGATCCAGATGCAGCTGATGAACTTCTTGGTGCGGCTACGGGACATGATGCTCTTGGCTTTGAAAGGGTGGCAGATGGCCATGTAGCGCTCCACGCTGAGGCTGGCGATGTTGAGCGCCGTGGCGTAAGTGCAGGCGTCCCGGAGGAAGTAGTAGCCCTTGCAGACGGCCCCCCCAAAAGCCCAGGGGTGATGGACCCAGATGAAGTTGTAGAGCTCGATGGGCATGCAGAGGAGGAAGATGAGGAGGTCGGAGAAGGCGAGGCTGGCCAGGTGGTAGTGCACGGTGCTCTGCAGGTTCTGCAGCGACTTCTTGCGCACCAGCGTGTACGCCGTGATAGAGTTACCCACCGTGCCCACCAGGAAAAGAGCCAGGTAGATGACGGTCACCATCACTTTGGAGTAGATGTCGGTGTTAACGTCCAGGTCCTCCTCGTCGGGCACTTTGGGGAGCAGGTCGGAGCGGTTGGAGGCATTGGCGTAGCCGATGGGATGCAGGTGGAGGGGGCCGCCGGTCACGGCCGGAGGAGCCGTGGCGTTCAGGTGCATCCTGGGGCCGGGCCGGTCCCAGCGGGGCTGCAGCACCGGACCCGACCCGGCGCCGCGCTCCGACGTGCGGCTGCCCGCGGCGTGGAAACTTGGCTCGTTTTAATGCGGCGGGGAGGAGGTGCCTGCGGTCCCGGGCTGCCGCGCGTGTGCGTGTGCGAGACACACACCCCGCACCACCACCACCACCAGCCCCCTCCCCTTCCCTCCCCTGCCTGGAGCCAGCCTCGGATGTGAGCGGCTCCGGCTCAATCCTCCTGCAGCTCCCGGCGCACAGATGTGCCCTGGAAGCGCAGGAACCTCCCTGCACACATCCACACACAAACACTCCCCCTGCCACCTTTAAACACACACATATACTCACACCCAATCGCATCCCCCCCCCCCCGCATGCATCACACAGCCGCACCGGGAGTCGCCGCACCGCTGCTGACCGCGCTGCCGCCGCGGGCACTGGCAGCTCCCATGCCCCGGGGGTCCTTCGGCTCGGCCCCCTCCTCGCCGCCGACATGGCTTTTGCAGCCCCAGCTCGGTCTCCACTTTGGAGATCGGGGTGTCCATGCCTTGCACAGGCAGGCTCAGGGGCATGGGTGAGGGTTCCAAGGGGCTGGTGGGGGGTCCAAGCACAGACACCCCGTCCATCGGGGAGAGGAGAGGCACCAGGGATGCTCCATCACACTTGGACATCCGTATATCCCCCTAGTTCCTAAATAGGCACTCACACCTGAGGAGAAATGCATTTAAAGGAGGGGAAAAAAACACCTACAAATATCTGCCCCTGAAGGAGGAGCACTTTGTGGTTGCCCTTTCAGGCCTGGGGCATGGAGCCAGCACCCTGTGTGGTTCCAATGAGCTGTTTGTCCACTCAGTTATCTTCCTGATAGAATCTTTACAAAGGCACAGAGGAGATCTAGGAAAATCCCATTCGGGGGATCACTGATTTAACCAAAGACAGCTGTAATTTGTCCTATTCATCAACAGATGTTGAGTACCTGGCCCCAGCAGACAGTAGGCTCTATGTTCACTGAGGTCCTGCTGACTGCCTATTTGATACAAGATGTCTAATCCTGCAGTCAATCAAATCATGTGTGCAAATAGTGAGCTTTCCACCAAGAGCCAGTATTCCCCCAAACTTTCCTCCTCGTAAATCCATCCCATAGGATCACCATGAAAAACTATCAAAAATCTGATTTATTTTGTCATATTATTCCTACAAGTTTGGAGATTAATGTTTTCCGGTACTCATCCCACACTGGTTTAAAGAATGACTAATAATCCATTAACACCAGTGTTCCTTTCATTTAAAAGCTTCTGTTATGAATTTTCTATCAGCTGAGAGAAGTTTACCCAGCTGGTCTCACCCATTGCTGCTGGTCCTTGGATGGGTTCTAGGGATGGATCAAGAATATTCATCCAGAGGAAGGAAAGTGGAAGGTGAAATAAATGATGGCTTGTACTGATGCCTGAAGGAGATACTCAGCTGGGCGGCAAAGCACAGTGTCCCTATTCCTAACCTCCAAACTGGGGGGAGCTTGTAGCTACATGTTCCAAGCACAAGCCCATGCTGCTGGACTAAAACACTTTTCCCACATCAAGTTATTTCCTTTGGAATCTTTGTTTATAATGAAGAGTTATCATCCCTTTGTGGTCCTTTAACTTAATTTTGGCCTGGTAGAAAGCAATTGCTATCCCCACAAGCAAGATACCCACCTGCTGGTCTAATTTGACAGTGTGGATGTGCATGTTCATATCAATAGCTGTCTCTAGACATGCTCTGTTTTGGATTCTGTTGCCTCTTATTTCTGCACAATGAAGGCAATGCACAAACACGCTGCTAACAAGGAGAGTGTTGTGCATCTCTGCTCTGTCCCAGCAGCTCTTCCCAAGAGCACCACGTGCTGCCTCCTCCACTTTCCTTCTATGCCAAGCACTGGAAGGAATATCAACAGATATAGTGTAATTCTAATTGCATACTGAAATACCACGTACGTGGAAAGAAAGTGGCTGTTGATTTGCAATCAACATTTCAACAGGCTGGTGCAGTTTGTACCGAACAAACCTCTCCCTTCCTAGAAGTGCACTGGAAGGGTACCACCACCCAGCAAGTGGGCTGTGTGCTCCCATCTCTAAAGCCTTCAGCAGCATGTTTCTAGGATCTAACTAATGAATTCCAGTAATTCCTTGGCAAGCCTGTCTCTGCCACACGTGGAGCATCCTCGCTGTCACAGGCAGATAGCTCTGCTCTGTTCTGTTTCTCATAGAACAGAGTTGAGCAAAGAGTTCACCTGTGATGCAGCCTCACAGAAGGATGCAGCCACATGCAGAAGTGTGGGTCACTGCTTGTGAAGAAGAAAGGAAAACAAAGTCTTGTCTCCCTCCATGAGGAAAGGGGTCAACCTCTCCTCTCTTTTTGGAAAGCTTTCCACCCAGGCAGCACCTTCTGTTATCACATCACATTTACAGAGCTGGACACTTACCACTGGTCCACCCCTTGCAAACTCTGGCTTGGGAGCAGGTAGAGGTTTATCCTGCTAAAGGACAACATCAACCCCAGTGCTGCCTCACCCTGTAGCACCTGTCCAGTGTGGAAAAACGACGGAAGACCAGTCCATCCTCTAATGCAACTAGTCTCGTTTATTGAGCGTTGGGTTACAGGTTATATAGCGTCTATAATGAGCTCATTATTGGTTAATTGCTAACCGTCGGCGCCGCGCCTTTTGTGGTTAACTTCAGCAATTTAGAGCCTCTTTTTACACCTTGTTATTGTAATTAGGGACTTTCCAGCCGGCACAACGACCTTGCCTATGATTGGTTGCCTGGCTATTGCTTACACCTTGCTTTTGTTACTGGCCCACAAGTCTTCAGTGCTCTTCATGCCCCCGCTCTCCAAACCATGTATCAGTAAAAACTCTCCACAGTCCAGCATTTACCCCATCTTTACCCCACTTCTGCTAGTGTGTGGAGTCCCTTTCCTGCTGTGGGATCATGAAATGAATGACAAAAGGATCTCTTCTTGCTTTTACTTCTTCTTGGAAGGTTTTAATCCATATTCCCCTTCAAGCAAAAAGAGAGCTGGAGATTCACCGCTTTCTTCTTGTGCACCAAAGCCTCCAACCTAAATCCCTGCTGTTTGTTTCTGAACTAGCCGACCTTTCAGCTAAGCTGAGCTCGTTTTAATGTATTTTGTATGTGTGTGTCTGTGGCTTAAAAAGGAAAAGAATCCTGGAAACCAGGAGACGCCTGATCTCAAATGTTACCAAAAGGCATTTACTTAAAATCTTGCAGGAAAATGTCACCCAAAGACCTCATCTATTAAAACTGCCTGGACTTTGAGCTGAGGGTCCCACAGTGCCCAAGATGCGAGGCCAACAGGTTGCTTCACTCCCTGCTATATTGACCCAAGTGCTTTTCATCTTTGCTTTTTCCAGATGCAGTTGGGAACTACTAGGAATTTTTCATATTAATCCTGTTCCCATCTGATTTCATCAGGTGGGATTTTTCTTAAGGGCACCGAAAGCAGCAGAGAGAAAGCTCTGCAAGAGCAGATGCTAAGAGACAGCATCAACCTTTTCCCATTGTGATCCCAACACACAGCCCCAAATACCTGTTAGAACAGGATCCCACTGAATCAAGCATTTAAAGTCATAGAATCATAGAATGTTTAGGGTTGGAAAGGACCTTAAGATCATCCAGTTCCAACCCCCCTGCCATGGGCAGGGACACCTCACACTAAACCATGGCACCCAAGGCTCTCTCCAGCCTGGCCTTGAACACTGCCAGGGATGGAGCATTCACAACCTCCCTGAGCAACTCATTCCAGTGCCTCACCACCCTTACAGTAAAGAACTTCTTCCTTATATCCAATCTAAACTTCCCTTGTTTAAGTTTTAACCCATTCCCCCTTGTCCTGTCACTACATGTCTTTAAATGGTGGTCCCTGTGGACTCACTATAGACCAGCTCTCCCTAAATGTCAGAAGTTCCTAAGATGGGTTAGGAAGGTAAAATCCAGGGGTGTACAGGGCTTTTTTAAGGATGCTGTGCTTGAAAAACAAGGAAGTTAGGGAGGAAGGGATGATAGAAAAAGGGACATACATACATCAGCTTTGTTGATGACAGTATCGACTTTATCATTACTTACAGGCACAGAAGTACATCCCTTCCTCCACTCAACATATTGCAGAATGAAGTATTGCTAGTTTGGATGAGCAATAAAAGATTTCCAATGGCTCCCTGTTATTTACTGCCTTTGGCTGAACTGATTTCAGGAGAGTGTTTTAAATAGAACTAGTTGATACATGTTTATTGCCTCTGATTTTCATAGCAGGGGAACCCGCTGAGCTTGTGCATGGAGAGCACATCGGTGTGTGGGCTGGACCATACCCAGAGCAGAGCAACATTCACAAGCCCCAAGCATTCGTGTCTCTGGGGCAGGTTTCAACACAAAAATGGGCAACCCAGAAAGCAGAACGCACCAAGATGTATTTGATGACATTGGTAAGAGAATTACCCTGAAGAAGGATCAATCTCTTGGAAGGGACGGATGGGAAATGAGGTGTGCAGACACCTTTTACAGGTCCTATTTTCTGTGTGCTGCATGGTCAGTCCTTAACATGCTTAGTGTTAACTCACCTTAACATGAAAGTTAATGCTGATAGATGCTAATATTTGTCTCAAAGAGACTGATGCATTAAGTGGACACGCAGAGGAGACATCACCCACTTTAGTTTAGATATAAAGCAGGTTTCGGGTCCCCTGAGCTGTTATTGCAACAAGCCCAAATGAGATTCCTCATGGCAATAAACGCATTTTACCTTCATACAGGAATACAAGTGTTCAACACACAGGCAGTCATACTCACACTGCACACAGGGTTTCCCTTCAGAAATCCTGCTTTATTCCGGGAACACACAAGAAAGATCAGGCACAGAGGAATCCAAAGGGAGCGTCTGCGCTCGCTGCAGCCGGGATGCTCTCCCGCAACCCCAAGCACCCCAAGCACGGCGCTGGCACCCTCAGTGCTCATGCAGACGGGCAGGGCTTGTGCAGCCCTGGCTCTCCGGAGCTGCAGCAGCGATGCTTCCAACAGCTCCGCTCAGCGGTGCCAGCTCGGAGCACAGCCCTGCCTGCTGGGACCGCTCCAGCTCCGGCTCAGCACCGTCCCTTCTCCCTGCACATCCCTCCAGCATCGCTCCGGCAGTGTCAGGGGCGCAGATTATCCTCATTTTCTCACCTCCCCATCCCCAAAATTCCATTGTTTCTCAAAATTTCGGAGCAATTTTAAAATGTAAATGGGAAAACAGCACAGGAAACTGGCCA